GCTCCCCCTGGTCCCCAGGCTCCTCAGGCATTCCGGGAAGTGCAAGGGCTGGGTCAGGACCCAGAACCATACTGGAGCTCTTGACTTTCCCTGGTAAAGACTCCTTAGGTTGAAAAGAAAGACATCCACAGCAAATAAAGCTCAGTTCAGAGACCTCTCAGAGACCTCGTTGGCATTATTGAATGTTGAATGGCTCACGAGAGGGAGCCCCCTCTGCAGGTGACAGGCTCTGCAGGGGTTCTAGAAATGGAAGGTTTTTAGTCAGAGAGGGTGGGACCCGGTCATTAGCAAAAGAAAAGAAAGCTCATTTCGGGCAAAACCCGTCTCCCTCAGGGGCAGGCAGGGGCATCTCAGCAGATGACCTCATGGGGCTGATCAGGAAACTCCAGATAGGGTGGTTAAATTCCACTTTGGGGAGAGGCTGGCAGCGCAGCTGGGTTCGGCTTCGTTCCCGCCCCATGAGAGACTCCATCTTGGACCCCTTGTTTCTTTTTTTTTGATACAACATATTGCAGCAATCTGTGTGGCAGGCCCAGGACGGGCCTGTGTGTGGCGCGTCAGCACCACAGGCTCATGGTACACAATTAGGGACAGCCGTCCTTCCCATGTGATATAAGGTCCTGAGAAGCCAGCCAGGTGTTGGTTAATTAATGAGATGTGTCATCATTAATTAATAAACTACACAATGTGTCATCAAATGATACGTGTTGTGAACAAAAAAGCGACAGGAGAGGCAGGGATGAGGCCTCAGGGTGCTGCGGTGGGGACAGGGGAGGGATGGACTTAGTGGCCAGGGTGGGTCTCCTGGGGAAGGCGAGGCTTAATGGAGACTTGACATGTCAGCCTGGTGGGTGGCTGAGTGTTAGGGGGAAAGGGTGTCTTGTCTTGACCAAACTCCACACAGGTTTTGTGGACTCCACCCCCTACTCCAGACACCCGGACCTACAAATCCCATCATCACCGAAGGGAGGGTTGCTGGGACCCGAGGGTGGAGTTGAGCAGCCAGGTGTGGTATAAAGCCAGACCTGTGGGCCTTGGGGGGCTCTTGCCTCTTGGCCTCTTGACTTGACTCTTGGCTTTTCGCTGGCTCGCAGCAATGCCATTGGGGTTCCAGCTCAGTGGAACTGGTAGGACACATTCAGCAGTTAATCTCCATCTCTGTCTCCCTGAGTTATTCCTTTCTTCATTTCCCTTTCTTTTGTAAATAAACCCTTTATTACCCTTTGTGTGTGCGCCTGCAGTTGAGTCTTATTATAAGGCCCTTTAGCACGTGGGTGAGGACCCACAGTCAGGCGCCGTATCGGGGTTTCCGTGTGACAGGAGGAGAGAAGGAGAGAATTCCAGGCAGAGAGGCCGCCCAGAGAAAGGACAGTTCTGGGATGTCGGCAGCCCAGCAACTGGACTGACTGAGTGTGGGGGATGGAGCAGGAGAGGAACTCGGAGAGAACTGGAGGGGCCCAGATGGGATGGGATCATGTACCATCGTTCAAGCTTTGGCTTTCACTCTGAGATGGGAATCAGGCAGAATTCCAAGAAGTGGGACATGATTTGACTGTTGTTTGTTTAGCAATAAAGGAAACTCTTAGACTCCTCGGCCTGGTGACTCAGAAGTTCAGGGCTGCTGTGGTGTGTGCGTGCCTGTGTGCATGCGCGTGCCCCCGCGGCTCACGGCTTTGAGACGGCAGGGGCTCGGGCCTTCTGGAGCCAGAGGGCTCTCTCTGGCAGCGTCAGAGCATAAACTCCCAGGGAAGGTCTCCGACTGGCTGATTGGGCCAGGAGCATTGTCATTGGCTGGTGGCTTCACCTCCCTCTCCTGGGAGAGGACTCCAGTTGCCTCGTTCCCGGTGGGGTGGCGTTCCCGAGAGGCAGGGGATGAAGTGCCAGAGCGAACTTAGAGGGGCTGGGGGCTGCCCACCCAAACGACAGTCTGGCACTAAGTGGCTCGTCCTGAGGCATCTCTGGCTGGAGTTCTGCCCCGGGCAGGGCTGTGGCTCCTTCAGGAAACTTCCTTCTCCAGAGGGTGAACGCTTTTCATAAACACTGCTCCTGAGGGGGGCTTTGATGCCAGAGTGACGACTACCAGGCTGATCAGACTTCAAAGGTCGCTTCAGCCAAGGACCTTTTAAAAACAATCACTGCATTTCCCGTCCCTGGAGGGAGGCGGCAAGACTCACGGAGGTGGGGCCCAGAGCTGGAGACGGGGCCACCTTCTCCTCTCTCCAGGCCGCCTCTGAAGTCACAGGTCATTAACCGCCTCCAAGAGCTGGACTTTTGATCCTCAGGAAACGCGAGGAGGCTGAGCGGGAAGGAGCCACCCTCAGCTCCTCTCGGCTCCGCTGTGCAGTGGGAGGACTTTTGTGGGCATTTTTGCGAATACAGCACAGCCACACCTGCAGGTTACAGGGCAACCCCGATATGAAATGGGTTGCCTGACGGCGGGCCCTCCCCTGTGCACTTAAAGGAACTTACAATAAGACTCAACAGCAGGCACGCGCATGAAGGTTAATAAAGGGTTTATTTACAAAAGAAGGGAAACTGAAGAAACGAATAACTCGGGGAAAGAGATGGAGATAAATGGGTGGATGCTCCTACCCGTTCCTTTCCCCCTAACAAGTCATACCGGGTGCATTTTAAGAGCTCTTTCACCGGCGTGACCACCTCCCGGGTAGAGAGAGAGAGAAAGAGAGAGAGAACATTCCCAACACCCAGGAGCCTCCTCCCAACTCTTGTTTTTGGGCCCACACACCTGTATTTCCCAGGTGCCCCAGGCAGAGCCCACGGTGAACACCCGACCGCCTGCCCAGCACTTTGCCCACGCCATCCCCAGCGCCCCTCCGCTCACCACGAGGCAGGCCCACCAGTCCCATTTAATTGGCAAAGAATCGAACTGGAACCCAGAGAACAGGAACACCACCAGCACCGCCCCCCTCAAAAATAACAACGATGGCTGAGGGAGGCTTTAGAGACGTTCTTGGCCAAAGATCAGAGAGAGTTTGGGCCTCCCTGCCAGGCCCCGGCTTAACTGGTTCATTTCTTCAGGTGATGAGGAAAAGATTCCTACCTGGAGTCACGCACAGTCAGAAGCATCGCCCTACACAGCCCTTCTTATTTTTGGCTGCAGGTAGCAGTAGGTGATCACCTGCTCTTTCTCAGCCAAGGCTGGTTCCATCTTGTGGTTGCAGAAGACTGTCGGGACAGAGCAGGCCCCTCGTCTAAGGAGGATGGACATGGAGGGGGTCCCCGCTTGGGCCATCTGGTCCACAATTCCGGGGGTGCTATGGCCCCATAACTGAGGGTTTTGACCAGGAACACGGCCACGTTGCTGGTCCCCCGAGGCGGGGCGGAGGGGCAGGCATGTTCTGCACGTTCCGTGCTCAGAGCAGCATGCGCTGGCACGGTTCTTCCCGAAGCACAGCCAGAGATAAAGCTTGTTTCAGGACACCTCATACTGTTTCTGTCCTGTCCCTGATCGGGAACAATCATTTTATCTCGTGGTGCTGGGATAACCCCATCTGGCAGCCCCAAGCTCCAGAAACAGGGGTGTCGATTTACAAAGCACACATTTTGCTCAGAGGAGGGAAAGCTTGGTATGCAGCAAATGGACCGGAAGCAGCAGGCCCCGCCCGCCCGCCTGCCCATCCGCCAGCCCCAGCGCCAAAGGCCGGCTCCGGTCTCCTGCTAGGCAGGGGTCATTCTCCCCATTTTGAGGAGAAAGAAGCCGAAACGCTCATGCCCGGCTCTGCGGACACTCGACGCTGAGACTAACGGTCAGCTGCGGTCTACAGCTGAGAAACCGGTTCAGAGAAGGACACCTACCCAAGGCCGCACAGCCACCCCTCCCCCACCCAGGGCTGCTCTGGGGGTCCAGGCCAGCAGAGTCTCCAGAACACCGGCCGTGTCTCTGGCCTCTGCCTCTGCCACGGCTCTGGCCGGCTCTTCCCCTGGCCCGGGCTGCTTTGGGGCGCCAGCTGAGCTGACGCTGTCCCTCTGGGAGCCCCTGAGGTGGAAGGGAGCAGAGACTGACTTTTCCCTCTTCTCTGCTGCTAGCCGGGCTGGCAGAACGACCAAGACGAGATCCTTGCCTTTGCTGAGGTCTCGCTCAAGCCCAAAGGGGGTGAAAGATGGGGGTGAGGATTTCAAAGCAGGAGATAACAAGAACGGTGCGCACGCTGTTGAGGCTTCTGTTGAAGAGCGGATGGATGTTTGGGGGAGCTCAGTTCAGAACAATCAAGCCATTCACCGGGGAGTCCCTGGGAAAGCACAGATGCCGCAGACCGCGGGCGAGAGGTCTGGCTCCCGAGGTCCGCGGGCACCAGGCATTTATTTCGTGGCGAATTTCTTATCTCACAGTTCCGCAGACTGCAAGTCTGGGCTGAAGTCAAGGTTCAAGGCTGGCTTCTTATGGATGCTCTTGGGGAGACTTTGCTTAACTTGCAGCTTCTAGAGGCTTCTCGTGTCTTCTCTCCCGACTTGCTTCTGTCTTTATAGCTTTGCTCCCTCTTTGGAGGAACTTTGTGATGGCGTTGGAGTCACCCAGAAAATCTAGGATAGTCTCCCCATCCCAAGATCCATATTCAGTGCCATCTGCAAGGTCCTTTTGCTGTGGATGGCAGCATATTCGTGTGTCTGGCGGTTGGCAGGAGGGCAGTCTGGGGGCCACTGTTCAGGCAACCGCCCATCTGTGTCAGTGTCCAGGTTGCTGTGAGGGTGGACAGCTCAGGCTCTGTATGTGCCGGGACCCTCAGGAACACTGCGTCCTGGGAGTTCCCGGTCGGTGACTGGCTTTACTTCACCCCCAGAGGCAGGCACTGCTGAATACCTTCAAGATCGTAGATTTTGAAAATTTGTGAGAATTTGTCAGGGGGGTGTGGTCCTGGCCTGTGGCTACTTCACGCAACCTCCATCCCCTCGAGCATCAGGGGCCCGAGTAGCTCAGCGCCCGGCTCCCCATGGGCTGTGGGCGGTGCTGAGAGCTCTGGCCTCCCTCCCTCTTTTGCGCCTCCTCCCACTTTATAGAGATCCAGCAGCTGCCTGCTCTCTCGTCTTCCCAGAGCTCCTGCCACCCAGATGCCTCCAGCAGCCCTGGCCCTGGCCATGGAGGGCAGCCAGGCGCTTCCAGCCTTCCTGCTCTGCAGCACGTTGCTGGTCATCAAGATGTACGTGGTGGCCGTCATCACGGGCCAAGTGAGGCTGCGGAAGAAGGTATGTCCTGGCACGCATCCCCTCCCGCTGGCCGCCTCCCCCAGGACGGGGGCAGGGATGGGGACTTGGGGAGCAGGACTGGGGTTCTGAGTGCTCCCAGCAGGCTTTGGCTGCTTCCCAGCACACAGATCTGATATTTTGGGGGTGGAGTGGGAACCAGCACATCAGGAGTCTGAAAAATATTTAAGTGGAAATTCCCAACTCCCCAGCCAGGTTGCTTAGAAAGTCAGCAGAGGCCAGCTCCAAAGCAGGCTCTGTCGAAGCCTTGCAGGCGGAGTCTCCCCTTTTAACCCCAATCCTTGAGTCAAAACAGCACAAAGAGGCCAAAAGCTGAGGTGGGCAGAGAAGGATCGGGCAGCCCGTGGGGACGGCAGGCCCTGCACCGAGGGCGCTACCGCCCTCCTGGTCGTTGCGGGGCTGCTGACCACCCTCCCAGGCAGGCGGAGACCAGCTGTTCCTGGCCACTGTGCCCCAGCGGGCCCCTTAGTCCAGTTCAAAGGCAAGGACAGGCTGGCTCTGGCATCACCTGGGGGGTAGGGGGAACTTGGGGCATCAGGGATTTTGCCAGGAGCCAAGCTCAGCCCCCCCGCACAGGTACAGGCAGGACTGAAGGCAGGGCAGCCCCCCAGATGAAATAAGTCAGCTTCCCGACAACTCTTCCGGGCTGAGCCGAGCTGAGCCCTGGCTGGGCAGTCTTGTGCTACAGTTCTGTCTGCAGGGTGTGCAGCCACGTGGGCTCCAGAGAGCTGCCCACTGAATGCCAAGCCCCCCTGAGGGTGTCTCGAGTGCACAGACCCCGGGCAGGGTCACCAGAGCTGAAGGCCTCCTGCCACAGGGCCCATGGAGAGGCACTCTGGGCTTGGGGGCTCCTGTTCTGGACGTCCCTGCTGGAGTGGGGCAGTGGCAGGCCCCCCAGGCCGAGCAGACGGTGCTGGGACAAAGATTGTAATGGCTCCAGGGTCAGAAGCAGATTTGCTAGTGGGTGAGCTTGCGGGGACTGGCTTGCTCGGCTGCCTGCAGGGAGCAGTGCCCACGGGGCTGGAGCGTGACCCTGTGATTGCTCCGCTTCCTGTGAGAGAAACCGACCATTCGTTGTGAGCCCTCCTCGTGCCTTCTCCGGTTCTCTCACTCTTCATGTTGTGGATGAGCCCACCCTGACCCAGAGTTCACACATGAGGAAGGTGGGCTCAGGGAGTTCAGAGACCGTCAGTTAGTGTGGAGCTGAGGTTCTCACCTGCACCCTCTCATTACACTTGGTTCAAAATCCAAATCTTTCAGGTGCCTCCCGGACCCCTCCGGACCCCTGAAATATCCCCTTGGGCCTCTGCCCTTTGTCCTTAATGCTCTAACGTGTATTGGTTTTCTATTCCTCCAACATGCCCATTTTCTGACCTCAGGACCTTTGCACATGCTTCTCATAGTGCTTCAGATGCTGTTGCTACAAACTTCTCTTCATCTGGTTAATGTTGATGCTTTCTTCAAGCCTCAGCTTTAACATCACTGCCTTTGAGAAGACGCCTCTGGTCCCCACACTAGGTTAGGTGTCCTAGAAACATTAACCTGCTTTCTCCTTGACACTCACACCTTGGTTCACAGATAACTCCCCTGTCACCCTGGGAGCTTCACAAGAGCAGAGGCAGGAGGACCCTGGCTCAGTCTGTTGAGCTGCTGTAACAAAATGCCGTGAACTGGGTGACTTGTAGACAACAGAGATTTATTTCTCACAATCTGCAATCTGGGGAGTCCAAGATCAAGACGGCAGCATTTTCGGTGTGTGGTGCAGGTCTGTTTCCTGACTCGTAGACAGTCATCTCTACCTATCCACACATAGTTGAAGGGGTAGGGGAACTCTCTGGGGTTATGAGGACTGCACCCTCATAACCTAATCACCCCCGAGGGCCCTACCTCCTAATACCATTACATAGCGGGTTGGGCTTCAACATTTGAATCTGGAGGCCACCGACATTCTGTCCATGCAGAACTGGCACGTGCAGATGGCAGATGCTGGTGAACAGGCGTGTGTGTGACACATGGCTGCAGTCCCAAGGGATCGGGAGGCCCATCTCACCAACAGTAATGCTCAGTCGATGTATTCCAGGCTTTTGCCAACCCGGAGGATGCCCTGAGACACGGAGGCCCCCAGTATTGCCGGAGCGACCCCGACGTGGAACGCTGCCTCAGGCAAGTACAGGGGGGTCAGCTGAGGTTTTCTGCAGTAATTTAATTTAGTCATTGATTTAATTTTTAATCAACTGTGGAGAGTAACACATGCTCACAGCTCAGGATTACAAAACCAGAAGAATATTCAATGAAAATTCACCCCCTCCTACCTCTGAGTCCCAGCCAGATCTGCTCTCCAGGGGCAAAGGCTCTTAGCAACATCACAGATCCTTCCAGAGACGCTTTCTGCATTTATAGACAGCACGATGATCTCTGATCACCCTCTGATCTCTACCTTGCTTTCCCCACATCGTGGCAGAGATTGCTTCCTCTCGCTGGTGTTGGTCGTTCTATCCGTGCTGTCACACCTATGCTATCTCTATGGATGAGCCACTTTCCTGCTGATGGATGTTCAGGCTGACCTCGGTCTTTATCTGTTACGAATGAGTCCATCAAAACCTCATCCATTTGCCTCTGTGTATGTGCGATGCAGTCAGATGGTAAGAAATTATGCCAACTGGTGCTGCAGTCTCCTCCCCCAGCTGGTGTGCGAGGAGTTTCTCTCTGCCCCACATCCACTGTTAAGACAGATCCCTGCCAACATGAGCGGTGAAAACGTGCCTCCCATTTCGGTTTTACTTTGCATTTCCTTCATTCAGAGTGAAGTTGAACATCTTTTCATGTACTTAGCAACCCCCCAGTCGATTCCAAACACATTTTCATATTAGAAAAATCAGAACTATTGTTTGCAGAGTTTGGGTAATATTTTCAATACCTAGAGGAAAAAGGAAAAACCACCCACAATTCTAATCACACTGACATTTTCTTCTAGTTATTCTTTGTCTTCTACATCTAAATTTGTTCTTAAATTTATGCCTGACTGATATACCCAATTTGCGGTTCTGATTTTTTAGATTTATTTTACTTACGCATATAAGTACTGGGGTGTAGGCTGGAGGTGTGGAGGCAAAAGGATTCACCAGAGACAGAGCGGGGAGCAGAGCAGGCGGGTCCACTGAAATCCACTGCTGAGGGGAGCAGCGGGGAGACTGGAGAGGTCTGCCGCGCCATGTGGGTAGCTCCCTGGCCGGGGAGGGAACTCGGGCCGCAGTGGCTGGCGATAGCTTCATAGTGCTGAGACTTCACCCCTGCGCCACCAGGGAGGCCTGGGGTTCTGATTTTTTTTACAGTTAATATTGTTTTATGGGCACTTTCCCGGTCAGTAAATATCACTCAAAAAAAAAAAAATGATGCTTCCAAAATGACTGCACGGTTCACTTCTGTCCAGTCTCACTTGGAGGCCTGGCAGCTCCCTGTCCGCTGGTGACACCAGGGGCCTGGAGAGTGAGGAGGTGGCTCCTGGGGAAGGGGCTGCCGTGGAGAGGACGGCCGCTGAGCAGGAGTGAGGCAGGAGGCAAACTGGCAGAGCTCTCACCAGTCCCGTGCATCACAGCGGACATGGGTGGGACGCTGCTGTATAAATAAAGGGAAATTCTTTTATTAAGTGTGTGTGGGGGGCGGGGAAGGCCTTATGGTTTTCGTGGCCGTTGAAAAGAAATTACGTACTTGTGGTTTTAAAAATTACAGAAATGTGTCACGCGGGAAGTGAAACTCTGCTATTCTACCCTTTCTAAGATGGCTACAGTAGATCCAGCCACCCATCCAGCACTTCATGAGCACCTACTATGTGCAAGACACTGTGTTGAGCCCTGATTGGACTACAGTGAAAAAAGCCCTCCCCATGTACGCGTCCGCTCTGGTGGCCCTCACCCAGCCACACCCCATCGCCCTGCCTCTCCCGGGCAGTGGACAAGGAGGTGAATGAGCGGTCAAGAGGCCACGGGGCAGCCCGAGCCAACTCACAGGGGCCTCCAAGAGGAAGGGTTTGGCTTCCCCCAGGGCACGGGGATGAGGGGGCCAGGGATGCTGCAGTCAAGCTCCCTGAGGCCCAGGGCTGGCAACCTGGTCTTACCCACACTTGGTTAATTTTGACTGACTGTCGCTGTGCCCGGCAGAGACGACGCGAGCGAGCCGGCTCATTCCACCCACCGTGGACTTGTTCTCCTGAACGAGGTGACCCACCCCCGCCCCCCCAGGCCAGGCGTCAAGTGGTTGAAATTCAACTCACTTTGCGAGTGCCTCTGGGCTAAGGACGGTTTCTACCCACCCAGTACCTATTCAGTGAGGACTTGCCCTGCCAGATCTGGGGGTGACTGGTCTCCCCCAGGCTCCTCCTCCATCTCCTGACTTCACATAACCTTGGGGAACCTGGTGGAGGGTGCTGAGAATCAGACATCCTGTCCGCTGCTACCAGAGAACTGGCTAGAACCTGTCTGGAAGACCCTGGAAGCAAAGCTAGTTAAATATTAGACCAGAGCATATTTTAAGCTGCTGTTAGGGCCGCCCCACCGCAGGGCCAGGAAAGCTGGGACATCCAGGCGCTCGTGCATCTGCCTGGGGGTGGGCACAGGCTGGCATCCCACTGTGCGCCCGGTGCAGGGAGAGGCTGGGAACCGGGTTTCAAGGAGGATGCTGAGAGCAGCCACCTCTTCCTGGGGGTGCAGCCACAGCGAGGGGCCGCTTCGGAGTATCTGTTTGGTGTGCGTGGACTGCATCTGGTCCCGGGACCGCAGCCCTCAAGGCCCTTTGACATCACTCGACACCTTCAGTGGGTGGGTGGGGACTGAGGCCCAGAGCGGGAGAGAGACCTGTCCGGGAGCCAACGAGAGCCCCCCAGGACTGGGACTCTCAGCCGGCACCCCTTCCCGCCTCACCATAACGTGTTTCTATTCCTCTGGCCTGGGTGTCCGAGGGCGTTCGGGGGTCAGACCAAGCGGGCAAAATCGGCTTTCACGTTCATGCCAGGATGGTGTCCAGACGAGGGTGACAGCGACAGAGAGGGCAGCTGGCCTCCGGCTCGGCGCAGATGTTCTCAGCATGTCTGGAGACCACGTACCCAGGGCCCGGCCAGTCTCCTGAGGAGGGGCCTGGCGCTGAGAGGCAGGAGCAGGCCCGAGGGGCCAAGGAGCTCTGCCCGACTGGCAAGTGGGTCCAGCCTCCTCTGCTCCCAGCCTGCCCTCGGCAGTAACCTGATTTTCTCTATTTTATGCCTGTTTTGACACTAAGCAGCCAGTCTGTCGTCTCAGACCTGAAATTAAGGAAGCCACCAACGCAGATGGGCAGGTGGGCAGAGGGGAGAGGACGCCCCGCTTGGCAGCCAGCAGCCGTCCCAGCCCAGGCGGCCCGGGGGCAGCCTCGGTCCCCAAGCTGTGACTCCATGCTGTCAAGGCTGGTGTTGCAATGTTTGCCGAGCAAGGGGCGGGCCTGATGCGGGAAGCTCGCAAGCCCAGACTAGTGGGAATTTGCTTTGGATGACTTTTACCTTAAAAAGTGGTTGTTACTGGAATGACACATTTGGCTCAGCGTCTACCTGCTATGTGACTCCCAGAGCCTGCAAATCAGACCCTGGTCGGGAGGCAGGAAAGGCTTGCTTTCTTCATCCCCGACTTCCCGTGGGTCCTTGCCTTGTGGGGGCCTCGCTGTGGCTTTGTGGGGACACAACCCAAGAGAGGAGAGTGGGCTGGGCCAGGCCCAGGGGCTGAGGGTAGAACTTCGGCCCCTCTTAGCCCTCCGTCCCCGGAGCCCGGCTCAGCACCAGCTTTGTGGTTTCCTGCAAGGGCCCCTTCCCCGCCTCCAGCCCTCCTCGCCCTGCACCCTCTCACTCCCCCCGCATTCTGCCCTGCAGGCCAGGGCACCTCTACCCCCGCTGGAGGTCTATCCTCACCCCTCCTTGCCACCTCCTGTCCATCCTCACTCCTTTCCCAGCGTCTCCCCTCACCCGCTCTTCGGGGCTGGCCCTGTCTGTGTCCCTTAGACTGTGATTCTGTAGCACTTTCTAAAAATGGACTCGCTCCTAAAACAGAAACACTCTCTGAGGAGCAGTCTCTGAATGCGCAGGTCTCACGGGCTAGCTGTGCTTTTCCAGAAACTTTCAGATAAATAAGTATCGCAAGAAGGCTCGTCCAGGTGGAACCTCTTGCGGGTCACCTGTGGCAGCCAGACCTTGTGGGGGGCACTTCCCGGGGGTGCTCTCTGCGAGCAGCCCTGGAGGAGGGCACACTGCACCTTTGCCACCAGAGGGACTTTAGAGGAGCACATGGTGCCTCCTCCCAAGTCGGGTGAGCGACCGACTTGAGTGGCCCCGTCCTCGGCTCCCTCTCCCTCGTCCCTGTGCTCAGGATCTGGCCAGCACCTGCCTCTCTCTGGAGAGGGCAGACATAGGCCTCCCACCCCCAATCACTCCAGCTTGCGTTCCCGGGGACCTGGCCCCAGGTTGGGATTCCGGGGAGAGGGAGGAGGAAGGAGCACGCTGGCATCAGGGTGCACGGACAGAGATACCAATGGCTGTGTCCTGAGTTTGGCCAAAGAAAGATCCAGGCCCTGCTGGGTTTACAGAAGCTTTTAGACACTCAGCCTCCTCATCAGCCTCACAGGACCCCTCTCCAGCTCTTATCCAGCCTCACCTCTCACGAGCCAATCTCCACCCTCTGGCTGCACGAGCCACTTTACTGTCTCTTGAACGCACTGTGCTCATTTCCACCTCAGGGCCTTTGCACATGCCAAGCTCTCTGGAAAATGCTCCCCCTATTCAGCGAGCCCCTCATCACTCAGGCTCTAGGCAACCGTGGCCTTCTCTGACCACACTCACCTCACAGCAATGGGTGATGGAATGCTCTGGGCCCCCATCCCATGGCCCTTGCCTAAGGACTGCCTTGTCAGTGGTGGGGGGAAGAGGACCCTGCAGCAGGTCACCCCAGGGGCTGCTGGGCCAGCCCCGTCCCACGAGCACAGCCTTGGTGAAATGCCTGCCAGCCGGAGGGCCGGGAGAGGGCTTTCTATTTCTGTGGCACTCCAGTGCCTCGCACATGTGGCCTGTTCTCGGGGAGGTCATGGCCTGGCCACCGCGTTCCTATTAATTAGAGCTTCCAATATGCCGTCTATGACTCCAGTCACTTGCTCAATCTCTAATTTATGGGACTTGATGTTCCTACTCCCAAGGGAAGCTGCCCATCAGCAGGAGGCAAGGAAAATGTGAACCAACTCTTAGCAGATGTGGGTGGGTTTTCTCTCTCGGTCATGTATTTACAGCGGGGCTACACAGGGCCCGACCCCCACCCCCGCACGCACACACTCGATTATTTTAAACAACAGAAAGCAGGACAGCAAACTGAAGCCAAGAGCTCCGCCAGGTCCTGCGATTGGCCGGCTGCAGTGAGTGGAAGCTGTCCTCGTTATTCTCACCCTTGAGGGCGGCGGGGGCTGGCTTCTTGCAGAGACAGAGGCAGAGGCAGACAGAGCCAGGCGTGGATTTCAAGGACTCTCAGGCTCTGGCTGGTCCACCTGGGAAGGCCCAGGAGCCCATGTGGGTGGCAACCAGCTGGGGTTGCGTCAAATGGAACCTCTGTCCTCTGAGCCCTGGTGTCCCAGGTCAGCAGGGAAGAGGGGGAGACAGGTGGGGGCTGGTCCTGGCAAGCCCCAAGGCTTCGCATGATCCCAACATCAGCCCGCTGTGGCTCTCGCCCGTTCCCCGGGCTTCCTCTCCTCAGCCAGCTCGGAGTATCTGGCTGTCTCCTTGTCCCTGCTGTGAGGACCCCGAGCTGACCCCACCAGGGGTGGCCTTTCAGGACAGAGACTGGCCCCAGTGCTTGTGCCTGGCTCACGCGCCCCGTTCCTTCCAGAGCGCACCGCAACGACATGGAGACCATCTACCCCTTCCTGTTCCTGGGCCTTGTCTACTCCCTGCTGGGGCCCAGCCTTTTCATCGCCCGGATGCACTTCCTCGTCTTCTTCCTGGGCCGCATGGTGCATACTGTGGCCTACCTGGGCAAGCTGCCTGCGCCCACCCGCTCCCTGGCCTACACCCTGGCCCAGCTCCCCTGCGCCTCCATGGCCCTGCAGATCATCTGGGAGGCCGCCCGCCACCTGTGACCGCAGCCGGCAACTCGGGGCCCCCGGACCGTGGACTCAGCGCCCTTCGGAGACCTGCTGCTTCCTGCACCCAGCTGAGCGTGGGCCCTGGGCCCTGTGCAGACGGGTGTGAGTGCTTTTGGGTGTGCGGGCGTGCACACGTGTGTGCCTGGGTTCCTGGGTGAAGTAGCTGATTGGAAACACTTAGAGACTGGTTGTCAGGAGAGACATTCCTTCCGCTCAAATGGCACAGCACCGCGGAACACCCTCCCGCCGCCTCCCTGACAACGGGGATCTGATCGGACTTCGTTCCGGGGCCTGACCCTGGGGCCACTGGATCTGCGGCTGTAACGGATGAGACCCGTCCCCAGGACTCCAGCCGGCCAGCGGACAGGGGCTGACCCTGCATCCTCGGCCAGCTCCCGCACACGTCCCCGTGGCGGCCTGGCCTGGGAGTTACTGCCAGGCCCCCCAGACGAGGGCCAGGCCCCAGGATGCAATTTTGCAGTTTCTCCAGGGGAGGTTCGGGGTGGGGGTGCCCTTACCTCCTTTTGTCCCACCGTGTGTCTTTGCTGGATCAACCAGTAAAAGGAAATTTTCGGCTCTTTCAGAACCGCAAATGTGTACCCTTGAGCGATTGAGGGGGAGGGGCCTCTTCTAGACTCTTCTTCTAGACACCTGTGCCTTTAATCATTGCACAGAGTCATCTCAGCCCGCGGCCTGCAGCCTCCTGAGGCTCCTTCCTGGCGTCCACCCCGCCCAAGGTGCCCGAGGCCCCGATCCTGGGCACTGCTGCTGCTGTGTGTCCATGGTGAAGCGCCTTGACCAGAGCATCCTCTCAGGGCTCCCTGAGGCCCTCGTGCCTCCCGCCAGGGCTCAGTTCACTCAGGTGGATGCTGATCCGCCAGTCAGCATCCAGGCCTGGTTGCAACCAAGGGCACCTCTACCTTGCTTTCCCTACCCGCGGCCCCACACGGCCCCCTTTTCTCCAGCATCGGGAAATCTCCCTGCACCTGGACATGTCCATCTCCCATCACCCTGCGGTCCCCCAACTGCAGCTAGGGGGCTGATGAATCTGCAGCTAGGGGGCTCAGGGAGCCCTCAGCGGGTATCCCGGCTGGCTCTGGCACACACACACCCCCCCCACCCCTCCACCCCGCCACTGGAGGGTCGGGTAACATTGCCCCCTGGTGGCGAGACGAGGACTCCGCTCTGGGGCCGCAGGGCAGGCTGAGCCTTCATCGCGAGAAACGATTCCAGGAGGGAAGCATTTCTGCCTTTTAGATGATGGAAGAAAGGCTCTGACAGGAGTGGTCGCTCACCCAGAGTCCCTGAGCCGAGGTAAAGCTGGAGGAGCGCCCTAGGGTGCCTCGGTGCCTGTTTATATCCTGTGGCTGAGCTGTGCGATGCCCGCGGGACTCTGAGCCGCAGGACTCCCTGCAGCTCAGTGGGGTGGGCCCGAGGGCCTGGGACTGTGCAACAGCCTCCCAGCAGGGGCCCTGCTCCAACCTGGGCCCCCTCCCCCCCAAAACCAGGGTGGCCTCCCTACCCCCAACCCCAGATCTTATCCTCTCCCCCTAGAGTGCGTGTTGGGGGGCAGGGGTAGGGCAGGCATAGGACAGGGTCTGCGCTGCTGCCCCAGCTGTGCCTGAGTCTCCAGGTCTTGGAAGAGCGCCTGGCTCCCGGGGCCTTCCCACAGGGAGTGCAGTGTGTGTGAGATGAGTGTGGGTGCACGCGCGCGTGCACATGGCAGAGAGCAGGCTTCGGGGGTCTGGGGGGAGGGGCATCCCAGATGGTGGTGTCTGTGCGGGGGGCTCGAAGTCCCCATGGCCACCTTGGACTTACTTGCTTTTACCATCACTTGGAATTTTCCTTAAAAACACACCTGCACTTCCTCCTGGGGCTTTCCTCGGCCCCCGGGGATATTCCTGCTCCCTGGACCCCACCATCCCAGGGGCCTCGCATCTTTTCAATCATCTTTGACTGTGGGATGGTTCCTTCTCCAGGCCACATCAGCACAAGCCGAGCTTCCGCGGGCATCTTTGTACTTAGCGCCCTGAACACCTCTGCTTCTTTAAGCTTCTTTTCTAGAAGCCACGTCATTGAGCCAATGGGGCACGCCCGTTTCTAAGGCTTATTGTCTTGCAAAAAGATGGTTCCAATTTGGATGGATTTTAAAGAGTTTTGTCAATTTTTAGTACCCAAGTTGGGAAATTTGCAAGTGTCTAAATAAGAACTAGAGACCACCCACAATCCCACCTCCCTGGGAACACCACTGTTCCTGTTATGATCTAGGACTTTCCCGAATTTTTTACTATGCACGTAAAATCTATTGTGTATAGGATGCATAAGGTAGCCTGATATAATTATAAAATGCACCTTAAGCGTATAATATGCATATTAAGTGTATGTTGTGTATATGTGTGTATCTCCAGGAGACAGAGGCTGTGAGGTGGGTGGCATTTCTTCACTCTGGTGACAACAGTCCTTGCTCTTGGCATCTGCCAGCAAAGAAGACCTTGAGTTGCTTTGCTTTTAAAGTTTGAATTATGAAAACAATAGATTTTCCAAATCTAAAATTATAACATTGAACTATTCTTTCTGAAACCACATGCTGACACATCCTCCGACTGTCTAGAATTTTGCTGCTTTTGAAAAAGTTGACACTGTACTGCAACACTCGCTGCTGGGTTTTCACTGGCAAAGGAGGGGCGGTGAGGAGGCTGCCACAGGCAACTGAGGGAGTAGGGAGCAGGGTGAGTGGTTGGGACAGGGACAAGAAGGGTTACATCTGGAGAGGGAGGCCAGGGCTCAAACCCCTGGCTTGGGTGATGAAATTTTGCTGGAAGGGCCCCAGGGCGCCATTGGCGGCGTGAGGCAGAGGAGGAACATGACAGACAGAGGCTGGTACGTTAGGGCAACTAACCTGTTGGCTTGTGCAGAAGGGCCTGAGAGGCGAGAAGACAGGCATAGACTGTGAGCAGAGGCCTCATGCCTTCTCTGCAGTGAGCCTGGCGTGGGGTTTTCTGGGTATATCGAGGGCAGAGCAAGGTCAAGCTCAAGGTAGACTTTCAAGACTCTCCACTCTTATTCCTTTTTCATGCTGTGTAACAAGATGCCACAAACACAGCTGCTCAAACAACACCTACGTATGCCCTTAATGTCAGGAGTTTGGGCTCAGCTTAATGGGTCCTCTGTCCGGGCCTCGCAGGCTGCACACAAGGCTTCCTCCCAGCTGAGACCCTCTGGAGGCCTCCTCAGGGTCTGCTTCCCGGCTCAGGACTGAGCTCCCCAGGGTTGCAGGATTGTGCCCTCTGCTCCAAGGGAATTTCCCTGCAGAGGCAGCTCACAACATGGCTGCTTGTTGACCAGAGACGGGAGAACCTGTCTTTGCTTCCAATCTCTTCTTCCCGGGACACCTGGACTCTCTTTTAAAGGGCTCACCTGGCTAGGTCACCGAGGTTAACCTCCCTTTTGATGAAGCCAAAGCCAACTGATTAGGACCATAGTTTCACCTGCTAACTCCCTCCTCGTTGCCATGGCTACGCTCCCACCCACCCCGGGAGGGGCTCCCACAAAGGTGTGGCCACGGGGTGGGGTGGTGGAGCCCCTTGGCCTACCCGAGCTTTCCTCGAGCCTCCTTCCCGGGGTGTTTTGGTTTGCAACTTCCCAGATATTTTTTCACCTTGCAGGTGTGAAATGTGTGATAAACACCTTGTGAGGCCCGGCTCCGCCCCCCTCGGCCCCCACCCCATTTGGAGCTTAGAGAGGGAAAGGCTGGGTGACAACATGCAGACGTTTTCGGGGCTGTTGGTACAGCTCCTGGAGGGCGTGTGCGGAGTTTCACCCCGCGCCCCTGCTGATGCTTTGGGGTTTGCTCTCGCTTTGTCCTTCGAGAGGTCGGTCCGCGCCCGCCGCGCCCCCTGGCGGTCAGGGAGGGGAGCGCCCCGGGCCGTGCGCCTGGCCGTGACTCCACAGCGCCCCCCAGGGGCGGGCGGCGGAGGCGCAGGCGCTGACACCCCCCGCGGTGGTCCCCAAGAGGACTCTCTAGAAGAGGGGGCGCCCAGGGCGCAGGGAGGGCAGGCAAGCACAGTGTCATTTCGCCCCAGGACTGCACCCCTTTCCCTGTGCTCCTCTGCCAGAAGCACGAAAGCGGCTGTTCATGGAGGGTCGCAGCCAGGACCCCATCCTGGGGGGTTGCAGCATGACCCCCGCCTTACAGAGGGAGAAACTGAGGCCCTGGGAGTATCTAGCTGCAGCTAAAACTGGTCTTTAAAGAGCAAGACGCTTTTCTTCAGTTTCTCTCTCTCTCTCTCTCTCTCTCTCTCTCGCCTTCCCAGCTTAAATTGCTTTACTTGAAAAACAAACCACAAAATAGACAGCAACCCACAGTGCCCCCGCCAAGCTGGCTTGGCCAAATGGGCCAGGGAGGCAGAGAGAGGACGACCCCAAGGCCTCCCTGCTGGGACGGAGACTCATCCTCATGGAAAATTATATCCCGGGACGCTGCCCATACAGGCCTGCAATTAGGCCGCAATAGGGACAGTGCGGTTGGAATATATTTTTTTTGCCGGGAGGGCCCCCGCCAGCCCGCGGCTCCTGCACAGCATGTGTGGGTGATGACGCGGCTGTTTTCTCCAGTTCGCTCAGGAGGAAGTGACAGTGACATCCTTCTGCCCACGGCCGCACCAGTGCCTCCGTGGGAACTGGGCCCCTGGTTTTTTCCAAGGTTGGCATCCTGGAGACCCACCTTCCAGGCCCCTGCCAGAGCCCCACGCTCGGTGGCAGGCAGCCCCGACCTGGGATGCTTTGAGGCGCCTCCCTTTGGATGGGGACTGGAGAGAGGCCTCTGCCTGTCTGAGCTTGAGCACTGGCTGGGGGCTTGGGGGGGGGCCTGTCCCAGTGGGTGCTCATGCTCCATTCAGGACTTTCTGGCTCAGGGATTCCAGGAAGGCCGTTCTTCCTGGTTCTGGGACCCATGGGCTGTCACTTGCCGGTGCAAGTGCCCCCGGTGGGGACAGGAAAGGGGGGCTCTCAGCGAGGGAGGACCCAGCTCAGGCCAGTCTGGTCCCCAGCTCCAGTCCGGGTGGAAGGGCAGGCCAGCACCCCAGAGGCCTTTACGAGGCAGGTCCTTTTTCTAGGGTCTCCTCCTCCATCTTGTCCATGTTCCTGAGCCAAAACCTGGTCCCAAAGCTGCTCCCTCTCCCTCAGTCCATCAGGTACCACATCTGCTCCTGCTGTGTCCGGACACCTCCTAGGTGCTCCCACTGCTGCCCCATGGCCCTCATGCACGCCAAGTCCCTCCACCAAGCTGACCCCCTCCATGGCTCCCCACCACCAGCATGACAGCCAAACTTTTATGCGTCCAGGACACCTCCTCCAGGAAGCCTGTCCAGATGACTTAGACTTGGTTTGGGGTCTCTGGGGCCAGTGAACCCCGTGTGAGCTCTCACTCTCAGGGCCCCAGCACACAGTTCAGGGAATGAATGGCAAATGGAGCAGAGGCCGGAAGTGAGCAAGAAAACAGCTCTGCTCGCCCTCCCAGCCCCGTCCAGGGCACAGGTCTTGCCCTGGGGTAGCAAGTCAGGCGCCTGAGCCAGCTGGCAACAGGGGAGCAGAAACCCCCTCCCCCATGCCTTCAATCAGAGCCTGTGCTCCCTCACCCCATCAGTGTACCCCCCACTCCTGCCATCCAGGGTCCCAGCCCCCATCTCAGGGGAGAAACCGTCCACCAGCTGATGAGGAAGTCCCACGTGGCGGGGCCACCTTCCCCGGACAGGTCTGCCCTTCTGAAGGGGGCAAGGCCGAGCCCCAGGACCACGGTCCTGTGGGGGGGATTTTGGATGAAAGGGGAGAGAGAATATAAAGGGACGAATCGGGGGAGGAAGGGAGGGTCCTCACTTGACCCATGGGAGTAGCTGCACCTCCTAAAACAAAGTAGGGGGCAGGATTTCATGTGCTTTGAGCTTTTGGAGCTCACCTGGGAGCTGGGGCGGTGGCTGGGAGCACTGGAGCTTCCTGGGCACTGGGGAGCCGAGGGCAGGCAGAGTCAGGGGACTGGGTCCAGCCCACATGGAGGTGTGGTTTCTGTGAGAGGTGCCCCTGCAGGGGGCAGCCAGCTTCATCCCTTGGCCTGGGCAGAGTCCTGCTTCCTGGGGGCTGGCTGGGGCCCCTTTCTGCAGTATGTTAACTTCCCTGGGGTGATTCCATCAGAAGGGGTGGCAAGGGCCGAAGGTATTCAGATCACCCCCTCAGCCCAGTGCCAGGGGCTGGTGGTGCCTGTATCCTGTCACCCCCAGGTACCATCCGCCACTGGGTAGGCTGGGGGACTTGGGAGGTGCTCTCATGGCCTCAGCTGCCCTGTGGGCCTGCTTGGGACTTTCCCTCTGCACCCCCACTTTCTGGGGCATTTGACCAGGCCCCTCATTGTTCAAATCTCCACAGGGTCCCACATGTCTGCATGCCCAAAGCAGGGGACCAAATTCTAGCATCAGCCCCACTTACCCCCTGACCAGTCCAGAAACCCATGGTCACCCTCTGCCCCCACCGTCTGGCAGACAGACACTCCCTGTCCAGAGAGGGGAGGGGCCCCGCCCGGAACCCCACAGCAGGCTTTCTCCCAAACACCTGGCGTTCCCCGCGGCATCGAGCTGGGGGGACGGGTCCAGGGCAGGTCTCTGTCCCCCTTGGGCTGGCCTAAGCTAGGCCAGGGGCCCGTGACCGCCACAGACCAGAGCAGGGCCCCAGAAGGCTGTCCCACGTCAACTTGGGGCCCTGATCTGCCCTCCCGCAACTTCGGGGGCTTAACACATTTTTATTTCTTAAAGACAAAAGATTTTTGGTTTTAATACACAAAATGAGTGAGGTCCTTGTGAGCGCCTGCCCCGCGGGCCGGCCCAGCCCCTCCGAGGGCCGCAGTCTGGGGCGCTGGGGACGAGGGGCTGAGCGGGCCCAGCAGTCTGGCTGGGGAGAGGGGCCAGGAGCGCCCGCCAGCCGGTCCCGGCTCAGGCGGAGGGCACGTGCCGCGGGTCTCCCTCTCTCCAGCTGTCGCGAGGCCGGGAGGTGGCGGGGTCCTGGTGGCCGGCGTCAGTTCACCGTGGGTACCTGGCTGTGGTGCAGACTGAACTCCTTGGCCTTGAGACGCAGGCTGGCGATGCTGTTGGCCATGTTGACCCCCGGGGTGGCGGGGCCCGAGCCTCCAGGGCTGTAGGGCGGCACCGTGCTGGGGTGACAGGAGACACAAGGACACCCGGTGAGGCCTGGCTGCGCGTGCTGGGTCCCGCCTCTGCTCCTCTGGCCTCCCGTCCTCTGCTGCTCTCCGAGCAAGCCTTCCCCTGGGGTGGGGACCCCGTAAGGCTGCAGGAATTGGGGAGGAGGCCAAAGTGCCTGGGGCTGGCATTGCATTCCTGCTGGACTAGAAGCTTCTGAGAGCAGGGTGGGTCCCGGGTCACCTCCAGCACCTGCACCGGGGCACAGGTGAGCAAGGTGGGACGCACACACCTGTTCTTAAGGACCACTCTAGGCTGTTCCGCCCCAGGTAAGGACAGGGAGAGAGGAGGAGGGAGGCAGCTGGGGGCGCTGGGAGGCCGGCATGGGCATCGCTGGGCTCTGCTCCCGTCAGCTGGCCCCAGATCTCACCGCCCACGAGAGCTCAGCTCCAGCAGGGCAGCTCTCAGATTGAGAAGTGGAAGCACCCCTGGGCGCACAGAAACTCGACTCCCTGGCACCTTCTCCCTCTTTCTTCCTGCCCTGCCGCTTCCAGGGTTGACCCCAGCGGGGACTGGGGCCTTGGGGTCCGCCCAGGCTGGCTCTTGTGCAACACGGTCACATGCACTCACGGGCACAGCTGTGCACACTCACACACACACACACAAACACACTCACATGCACACTCAGGCAACCCTCACACACACACACTTGCCCCCACACCACAGAGGCCCCACATCACAGGGGCACCTTCACAGCTCTCTCCCGGTCCTCAGGTCTGGCTCCGTGCATCTGCCAGCAAGGCCCCCACTCACCTGTAGGGGGACGAGGCTGTCCAGGAGAGATAGTCGGGGCTCAGGGCGGTGGGCCGGGGCGCCACGGGCTGCTCCATGGCGGCCTCCTGGCTGTAGGACTTGAGCAGCGAGGCGGAGCGGCTGGCCAGCATGGCCCGCTCGTTTCGGCGGAACTTGGCCCGGCGGTTCTGAAACCAGACCTGGGTGAGGGCGGGAAGGAGGGGTGAGCAGGGCGCGGCGGGCTGCCGGGCCCGAATCCTCGTGGACAGGGTGTGCCTGTCCCACCACCAGCCCTGCAGGGGCAGCTGCACCTCTAAGCCTCAGTTTCCTCACCTGTAACGTGGGGGTGGAGAACGGGCGAGTGGATGAAGGAAGGGGTAATCGCACTTGGTCACTAGAGGCTGTGCACAGAGGAGGCACCTCACGCTTTGACTTCGATTTATCAAAACCCCCGTGCCAGCCTCTGCTCCAGGCACTTTACAAATACATTAGCTCGCTGGATTCTCGTGAATAGGCCCAGGCGATCTGCACTCACAGAGGTCCCGAAGGAACAGAGGGGTGCGGTCACTTGCTCAAGGTCGCACAGCTGGTGGCAAGGCTCGCATGTGGACCTCAGCCTGCAGGCCCAAGCACTCTCGCTCGGGCCTCCGCAGCGGGCACCGCCACCCGCGCTCACCTGCACGCGCGCCTCGCTGAGGTTGACGCGCCGGGCCAGCTCCTCCCGCACGAAGGCGTCTGGGTAGTGGGTGCGTTCGAACACGCGCTCCAGCGCCTGCAGCTGGCTGCTGTTGAACGTGGTGCGGTTTCGCCGCTGCTTCTTCTTCCGCTTGGCTGCACTGCCCCGTCCGGGGCTGGGACACTCACCTGTGGCAGGGCGAAGGGTCAGCAAGGCGGGTGCACACAGTACCCACCAGCACCCCCAGCCCCTCCAGGGTCGCCACCCAGCAGCCAGCTCAGCAGGCGGCTCTGAGCGCCCCACCCACGCCTCCCCCTGCAGAGGCAGGTCTAGGCGGGAGCGGGAGACCTCCCTTCATTCACTGCTCCCTCCCTTCATCTGCCCACGCACTCCTCCTCATGAGCTTACTGAGCACTGGTGACGTGGCAGGTGCACAGTGCTGGGGCCTGGGGAATACGTGAGCAAAAGCAGCCAGGCCCCTCGCGGGGGCCGGGGGCAGGCACCGCTGCCAGGAGGGACCACTCGCCCTGCCAGGGAGGAGCCGCCTAGTGTCCTCGGCACCCGGCCAGGCTCCGGGCAGGGTAAGCCCTCCACGCACATGTGATGACACAGATAAAGAGCAGTAAGGTCACAATTCTGGGGGCCCCCACACAAGCGCTTCGGCACCCGCAGATCTTCAGGTGCATACAGGAGCCCTACAAACAGTTGCTGTCATCCTCACCGCTCCCAATTCGCTGAGGGAGAAGGACCAGGGCTTCAGCCAGTCCAAGTTCAAGTGCCCAGTAAGTTACCGGTGGAGCAGGATTTCAACCACCGGGCAGATGCCAGCGTGCTGGTCCCACTCACCAAACCCACGCTGCTAGCTGCCGAGAGCAGTCCCGAAGAGGCCCTGGGCCCAGAGGCACCCTGCTGCTCCTGACACCTGGTCTGCGCTGGGCACCGGGGGAGATGAATCAGAGGCTTCATAGGCAGGGGAGGCCTGCTACGGAGTAAGGCCTCCGTGCCACAGAGTAAGGGCCTTGCCAGCTCCGGTGGGTCACGGGGACACGTCAGGGTGCGCCCTCGGGAGGGGTGGTGCTTTAACTGCCCTTCCAAGGATCAACCAGAGTTTCCCAATCATCACAGGGAGAGCGGGGAAAGACCAGGGGTGAAGCCCAGCAGGGCAGCGGACCCCTGGGCTGGGTGCAGAAGCAGCAGCCCAGGGGAGGACACCACACCACCCCGGGAAGGCACGGGTGAGCGACTTCTCTGCAACTGTCACCTTCCAGACCCGTCCTCTCTCTTGGGAGGCTAGGTTGGGGATTTAGCTACCGTTTCTACATTCAAATTTTTACCCCAGGGCAGAACCATTGACCCTTCATTTTCTAGGGCCCAGCTCACTGCCCATTCCTCCAGGGAGCCCTCACTGACCACCCGAGACAGTGAGGAATCCCCTCCCCTCCACTGGGCTTACCCAGCGCTTGGAACCAACACAGCCCAGTTCAGGGTCCCCTTGTGTATCTGATCTTCTTATTAAAATGTGTATCTTGCTCACAGTATCATGGCACAAGCCACGGAACAGATTCCGCCCCAGAGAAGGGTGCAAGGCAGCGGGCACACTCCCTCTGCCAGCTCCACCCCACACTCGCATGCATCGCGCTGCGCACACAGCACTGAGGCCTGGAATCAGTCATATTGCAGGCGCCATCCCATCTCGCCAAGCCCAGCCTGCTTCCTCCTCACTGCTCCCCACATTTAATTGGCCCTCAGACTCCCCCCGGCCCGTAGAAATTGGCTTTTTAAATTCATTTTTTTGTTCTCCTTCTAGCATTGCTTTTACAAACGCTCAATGTGTCTACTTTCTCCCCGCTCCTCGCCAACGGCAGCGTGCCACGTGCTGTCCTGCTCCCACTTCCCCCCGCTGACACGCGAGCCCCGGGAGTCCCCCACCCAGGGCACAGAAACCATCCCCACCCTTCCACAGCCCGCGGCCCAACCCTGTGCCATGAGCCCAGAGGGGCACTCGGTGTGTTTCCAATCTCTTGCAACAAAAAGCAGCCACCACCAATAACCTCAGGCAAACACGACTTTCTATTTTTGAAAGTGCATGTTCTCCACAGACTCCTAGAAGTGGGGTTGCGGGGGCCATGAGAACCCCCTCCCCCCTCCTCCCTTCCCACCAGGAGGCCTGCTCTGCTCAGGAGCTCATGGTCAGCCTCCTGAATGGCAGAGGCACCTCACGTGTCTTCTGCCCTCCATACACCCCACCTTCTTCACAAGGCACTCAGCATCGCTCAGCTGAGCATCTAGAACACCCCCAGCTGGGGAGGACCCCACTGAACCCCTGCTTTTTAACAAGCTCCCTGGTTAGCAGGCGTTACCGACCCGCTGATTGGGATCCAGGCAGAATTGTCCAGAAGTGGTCATGACTGTGGGGGAGGGGAGGACAGGGGGCCTTACAGCTGGGTTTGGACCGGAATTTCTCAAAGGAAGGTAATTTTGCCCCAGAGGGCATGTGGCAGCTGCCGGAGCCATAAGCTGGGGTGTGCTACGTGCACCTCAATACACAGGCGATCCTCGGGTGAGAAATCCACAGGGGGAGGGGGAGGGTCGGGTCAGCACCGCCCCCTCGGGGAATTTGTGCAAACATGTGACCAAGTGGGGGTGGTGGCCGAGGGGCCCCCCGGGAATGGCCCGGCTGGGCCACGTCAGTCTTCACTCCTCACCGCGTTGCTCCAGGAAAAGGCAAAGATGGATGGGGATTGTCTGCCGCCTGGGCCGTCTCTCCACCCTCCTCACTTGGGAAGAAACAACAAAGATTCCTGCGCTGGACACCGGGCTGAGCAATCCAGCCCACGCTTGGAAGCTTCTGGAACACCAGCCATACTAGAAGAGCCGAGTTCTGTCCCCTCCCGGCCGGCCGCTGGGCCATGTGCTCAGTGCAGGAGACATTTCAGCCAAAAAGACTTTTTTGGGAAGTTTCTAGCAGCTCGGAACTGAGGGTGTTCCGAGTGGAACACCACGTGAAAACCACGTTGCCCGCCCAGGGGACACCCACGCGGGGCTCCACCTCCGCAGCCTGGCGGGCTCCTGGACAAGAGTGGGGCTCCACGGCCTCTGCCCAGGGAGTCCCCGCACCCGCTCTCAGGGGTCACCAATTCTCCACACGGGGACACTGAGTGGGGGGCCAAGGACAGGTGGCTGGGATCACACCCACGTGTTTGGGGGCCAGCAGAGGAGGCTGAGTCTCCACGGGGGTCTCCTCCCTCCACCTCCTTCCTGTGGTGAGGGAGGGGGCGCGTCTGGGTCATGGTTGGGCAGGGGTCTTCAGGGTCTGTTCTGAAGGCTGACCTCACCCCTGGGAGCTGCGAGGACACCGGCGTGGCCCAGGTCACCCGAGGTCCCCGCGAGGCGCTCCGCACAGCAGGGTGCCCAGGGCATAGCCATTGCTCAATAAACGCACATCCTTAGCTGTTACTGCTTTTGTGCCTGCAGACAGCCTCATGTCTCAAGGTCCTGGGGTCCCCTCACCCCAGTCCACTGTAGAAAGACGGGCCGCAGCCCCGGCGGGGTGCAGGCGGATGAGAGGCAGGCCGGGTTGAGGTGACCAGGGCTGGAGCCGGCTCTGGACTTGGCTGGGCCCTGGGACCCACGCCTGCTTCCCACCGGATGTGCCGGGTATTTGTTACCATAAATTTCTGAATCACCTCCTGAGAAATGCGCTGTGGTGGGCGTGGATATCCTCTGGGCTCCACGCTTGGGCTAAAGAGCATTTGGAAAATAAATAGACTGAGCCTGCGGCCAGCGAGGGCTGTGTGAGCAGGGCTGTGCCTGCCGCTTCCTTTTGTTAAAGTCCTGCTTTTCTCTGCCATTAAAAATAAGGCCTGAGGGGCCTCCCTGGTGGTGCAAGGGGTTAAGTGTCAGCACTGTGAAGCTGTCTGCAGCCACTGCAGCATGAGTTTGATCCCTGGCCAGGGAGCTACCCACATGGCACAGCAGACCTCTCCTGTCTCCCTGCTGCTCCCCTCAGCAGTGTGTTTCAGTCAATCTGCCTGTTCTGCTCCCCGCTCTGTCTCTGGTGAGTCCTTTCACCTCCCCCACACCTCTGGCTCACACCCCAGTTCTTCTATGTATAAATAAATAAATCTTTAAAAAACAAAATAAGGCCTGAAATTGCCTTCGTCGAACAGGGCTGTGAGGTGGTCTTGCAGGGGCTGGATGGGGAGAGGGAAACAAACGCGGCCTGTGGCCTGCGGCCTGCGGCTCCTTAAAACCAAAATGACTCGGTCCCCATTAAGTTACCATGTTAAAAAAAAAAAAAAAAAGACCAGGGCACCGTTTTCTGCCATTAAATTATTTCACACGTCCCATTTATGTGGCTGACAGGGGGCCAGAGACATTTAAAAACTGCTCTCAGCCAAATGATCAAGTGTCCCTCGCTCCTCTCCCCTGCACCCTTGGTTTTCTTATTCTGTGTAATTTAAGGACCTAAATGGTCTGGAGGGAATTAACTGCAAATTCTCCCTAAGACAAATAAACGCAGCCTCCCCGGCCCTGCCTTTCTCCGCTCTGTTTGTTTTTGCTTCAAATAGTCAGTTCGCGCCTGACCCCAGGGCCGCCGTGCGCTCCAACCCAAATAAATAACTTTTATTAATTAGCATTTATTCTGACCAAATAAGCTGCACCCACCCCTGAAATTGTGAGCTCTGCCAACATACTCGCGAAAATAAACAGCGGATCCCCAGGAACCTGATGGGGGTTTGACAAATTAACACCGGGCCTTGGGCAAAGAGCACGGAAGCGGCACAGAAGTTTACAGCCAGGAACACTGAGGGGGCCGCGGGGAGGTCAGCAAAGAGCACGGCCCCCCCACACCCAGGTCTCTTAGTAGAAGATCTGGGGTCCGCTGAAGGACCTGCAGGGGAGGACTCAGATGGAGACTCTGGAAACCGTGTCCAGGCTGCGTCCCTGGGCCCCAGGCCCCCCCAGGCTTGAGGAGGGATTTCTCACCTCCTCATATTTGAGGAGAGGCAGGACAGCCCGGTGGTTAAAGAGGCGAAGTTTCCGGGTTAGGGTCTCAGGTCAGCCCAGCTCCCCATCAGAGGGGCCGGGGGCAAACTTTCCACTCCCAGCCTCAGGAATCTCACTGGAAATGGGAACAACAGAAATTGCCTCAGGGAGCCCTCATGGCAACCCTACCTGGGCAGCT